TTTCACAACTAAAAACTTAGTAAGTTATTCAAGGAAGTACTTTTGTAAATAAAATAGGATAGAAAATGGATTCTCTACTTTCCATCTAAGGCTTCATTCATTACTGTATTTTATTTTCGACTTAGAATCAATATATAACACGATGGATTTGTTTTCTAAATTGATATGTTGTTTTGCGGCGCGATGAGCAGCACGGGTTCACTAGTATATATATATATGTGTCCGTTAGCACGATAACTTGAGCAAAAATGATCCGATTTTGATGAAATTCGGTACAAACGTGTAAACCTACGTTTATTCGAACGAGTTCGCGATCCAGCATGATCGGACCATGGGAACGGGGGTTTACGGGGGGTTTTATGGGGTAAAAATAGGTTTTTCGCATTTTTGACCCAAAAAACATAAAATTTAGCAATTTTTTTCCAAACCATTTTGTTGAGCTTAAAAAAACATATAATTTAGTATATTGAAGCGTTATTATGCGCCTAATGGTTACGGAGAAAATTCCAAAAAATTGTAAATTTAAAATTCCCATGTTATTCTTATGGAGAATAAGTAAACTGTTGTAGTTTGCTTGTTTATGAACATATTTTGATCAAATTTGAAAAATGTTTCTATTTCTTACTAACTATTAACATAAAAAAAACAGTTTTACCTCCCTGATGCAGCAAACCTAAGTACTTGTTAAACTAATTCTATTTAAATCGGGAATAAATGTTATATTTTTAAGTAGACATTTCAGTGTAAATCAAATCAGTCAAATGGAAATTCGCTTAGTCTGCAGGTTTGCTGCGGCGGGGATATTTATCTTATATGTTCATTAGATTCCAACATGCTGGGAATCCTTGAAAGTTAGCAGAGGGATTATGTTATAGTAGTTTTTTTTCATTATTGTTGAAACTTAGTGCCATGTTCTGCTCTACAGTGCTTTCTTCGTTTCGACATTTGGTACATTATATTCAGTATCAATGAAACTAAATTAAGTTGAAAATTGTAAACGCCCCTTATATTCGGCTGAGAAATATTTGCTGCAAACCGTATTCACTTTACATTCAAATTTATCAACCAACTTGTAATACATCCCATGATATTACCTGGGGGGAATGTATAGATTAGGCTGTGACTGCCTAAATTCACTGTTAGGTACCTTTATATTTCTAAGGACTACTAACCAGAATGGCAGGAGCGCTTGCTCTGAATCATTACCGAAGATAAGTGGGTCTGTGTATTCTCTCATCCAAGGGAAGCAAGCATTATCCGAGCTGAACATAATTATCATTGTTTGCTTTGCTTAAGCTATTGATTTATTACTGTATTGATGCAGTAGCAATAATCGTTTAAATTTTTCTTGATGAAGATAGCTTTGAATCTGTTTTGTTTGGTTTTTATTCTTGAAATTTAAAATTAATGTATCGTTACTAAAATGTTTTATTACTGTTAGTGTTAGGTCCAGTTATGAAGGATTTTATTTATTGTAGTTTGTTGTGGTTTATTGTTTTTTTTTCCTTTTGCTTCGACTTGCTGTTTAAATTGAATAACTTTATATATAGTGTAAGGATTGTGGGTTGAATAACGTGTTTTTGGAATCCAGAGTTATGGATGTAATTAGTTAAATTTATGGCATTAACAGGGAAAGGCGATGACACTAAAGAGTTCAATTATATGATTTCCTTTTTATGGGTCTTTTGTTTGGAAAATTTAAATTCATTAAGTTACATTTTACGAGGCGTTTAAATTGGCCTTGGTGTGGCGTTGGGCTTGGCTGGCCGGATTTCTGTGGCTGAGAACCATAGTATGGACATTTGAAATCCTCAGGTGCAAGGTTCGCTCACTGCTTCCTGCTGTACCTCTTGCTGGGGTCAGCAAGGTCTGAGGAGGAGGGGGATGTGACGGCCCCAAAAATTCCCAGACCCATTACATATCAGTTGGGGAGGTTTTTGTTACACCCTGAGGAAACCCTGTCAGTACCGTCACAAAAGCTTTGCTTTATTTCAAATATAAAAAGAGGGTCTGTAATATTGGACTGTTAACCTCCCTTTTTGTGTCAGCCAGTTGCGTCACCATGTAATATTCCGTCAGCGTGGCTCGGCGCTGGGCCAGGCCAATGTTCTCGGAAAGTGTAACGCGCATGGCTGGAATTTGCTGATACAGCTCAGCAAGTCGCTCGATGAAGTCAGTTAATGCGCAGCTTCAGTTTGTCTAATGCCCTGATGAATCGTTAGGCCGCAGCACTGTTCAGTGTTAGCACTGATGTCACGCAGCATAGCCGCAACATGATTGGCTGGTTCCCCTCCACGTCTAACTCTGGGTGATAGACAGGGAGCACTCGGTCTAGTTAGTCTAAATTCTAAATTCGGCTCGGTCGGTCATTAAAAATTGTCGCCTTTCCCCACTCTTCTAAAATGTATTTTAACATGAAAATCTGTAACTTAACTTAGATCTGAGTAGATCTAAGCGACTGATATCCAAATTGTATTCTCTCTTTACTCGTCAGCTAGTATTTGCGACCATAAGTATCGTGTTTGTAAACTAAACGTAGACTAATTACTCTTTCATACATCAAGTCGAAAGCTAAATACCTACTGTACTATTGTTTTTTCCATAAGTTTAATAAATTATCTATTCGTAGCGCATTTTCGTTGTTTCATTCGGCCACCTGTCACATAAATTAGGAAAATGAATATTAGGCCAGCCTTTCTGAGGAGTGATTATTAACAAAAGTGTATGAACAAAAGTTAAGATTTTAAGCAACTTAATACTAAATAATGAATGAAATTACATGAAATATTACAAGTGCATATACAACGGTCATAGGACCGTCATCTGGGTTGGCATAATGTCCACTCAATATTAATAAAATTGTCCCACATAATTAACAAACGAAGCACTAAAACAAAATAAAAATACAAAATAAATTTGGCGTGTTATTAGGCAACTGAAACAGCTTCCTAATAAATCAATTTTGTACGGATTCCATCTTTTTGCTCTCTAAATATCCCCATACCTGGCCTCCATAACATAATATTGAACTTACAACAGCGTTAAAACATTAGGCCTATACAATAAAGTAATTGTGGCTTTAACATGGGAATCAGACAAGCCTTAGCCACCGGTACTTTATTCCTTTACAGTTGGTGACTCTTCTGTTAACTATTATCGTTATCTCCTTGGCGCGACGATGCACGTCTACGCTTATCGCGTTCTTATAAAAAAATAGACTTCTTTTGTATTTATCGTTATTAGCTACAAAGATAGAGAGATAAAATCTTTCCATATTATTTTAGTAACCACGACCACGTTTCTCTGTCAGTCTTGTGCATTGCTTTAAAGTTAAGGTATTTTTTTTGAGAGCTGTTGACATTTTTATTTTACAGTTAAATGAAAGGTTTAATTCTATGCTAGGTAATTATTTGGACGTAGTGACTACTCGCAAAAGTGAAATTTTTTTCTTTCATAATGACCTAAATTTCACGCTGAATCGGAAAATGACGTTTTTATTTTTCGGAAAATACCGGAAATTCCCGAAAAAAGGGAAAAATTTTTTTTACTCAAAATACGTCATGTGGGTACTCAAAATACGCGGAATATTGTGTAGATTAAGAATATGCAAGAATTTTTTTGATCCGATGAAAAACACCGGAGATAGGGCGAAAAAACGGTGAATAATCGGTTAGGTTAGGCTTGGTTAGGTTAGGTTAGGTTCAGTTAGGTTAGGTTCGGTTAGGTTAGGTTAGTTTAGGTTAGTTTATCAATAACTTGAGTATTGTAAGTAAACTAACCTAACCTAACCTAACCTAACTCAACGTAACGTAACCTAACTCAACCTAACGTAAACAATAATAATAAAATAATGACCAGCTGATCAGCTGGTATTTTAACACGGACCGAACCTAACCTAACTGAACCTAACCTAACCTAACCTAGCCTAATCTAACTGATTATTCACCGTTTTTTCGCCCTATCTCCGGTGTTTTTCATCGGATCAAAAAAATTCTTGCATATTCTTAACCCTTTGAGTGCCAACGTCCGGGGAACCGGACGTTTTTAAAACGAGCCAAAAGTGCCGACGTCCGGCCGACCGGACGTTTTTAGAACGAGCCAAAAGTGCCAACGTCCGGCTGACCGGACGTTTCGTAATGATCGAACAGTTGTCATAACAACCGAATGGATACTCGGATTCTTTTAACCCATATATTAACATTGAGTCGAAAGTTACTAGATGCGATACATCGATTTTCGTTGGTCGAAATATCGAAAATTCGATTTTTACGAAATTTTAACCTAAAAATCGCCAGATTGCGCTCGGCATTTTTAGCGCGACCTTCGGGAAAAATCATCGGCATTTTTTGAGCGTTACTTTTATTTCTCGCCTGGCACTCTAAGGGTTAATCTACACAATATTCCGCGTATTTTGAGTACCCACAGCACGTATTTTGAGTAAAAAAAATTTTCCCGTTTTTCCCTTTTTTCGGGAATTTCCGGTATTTTCCGAAAAATAAAAACGTCATTTTCGGATTCAGCGTGAAATTTAGGTTATTATGAAAGAAAAAAATTTCACTTTTGCGAGTAGTCACTACGTCCAAATAATTACCCTATGCTAAGTTTATGTATAAACTGACAGGTTCAATTTTATAAACCCAGTTAATCCCAGAATTATAGACCCAGAATCTGATGTGACTCATGCTTTGAAGAATTTGCTTTAGAAATGTAGTCCTATAAATAATGGAGTAATAATCAATATTTTAAAATATATCTATTATAAAATTAAAATACCATAACCTAACCTAACCAACCAAACTTGCTGATGGTGGAAAAATCGCATGAAAGTTTACTAATCGAATCCGATAGTTTCAATCGATAGCATAGCCCAGTTAAGAAACTGTACCCGGCTTAATTAACATGATAGATTACTAGGGCCTACTAAGACCTAATGTAACTAAAAAGTACTGGGGACTGGCAAGCATATTTTAAGAATTCTCATCAAGAATTAACTAACTTACTATGCTTCACTGTCTTTGTCTTCAGTAACTATGATGAGACCAGACACGAGATCTGTCCAAAGTAATCAGTTATGAGAGTAATATACTAATCTAACACTATTGATAAGACAACAAAACGAAGGTAAGAGCACGTTTTACAAGGGGCTAGGCATCTTTCTAATTTCTAAAAGTTATCTGCTGCTGGAATGCTGGATTCTGCTGATTCTGGATCTGCTCTCTGCTCTAGTGCTCTGCTGGTGCTGGAGGACTGGACTGGAGTGGAGACTGGACTGGACACTGGACAGGAGGAGTGAGGTCACTGATTACTGAATGTCAAAGATGCGTGTCGCCAGCCGCCATGTTTGCGTGAGGTGTGAGTTATAAGAAGCCATGTTATTGGATAAGAAAACTCACTGCTATACCAACAGATGCCATGTTATTGCTACGATAAGAAAACTCGCTGCTATACCAACCTAACAAAATCAACGACACGCTTTTGACAGACTTCTGCCATGGCAGTGCTACCTCCAGTTATAATTTTAGCTCAGTGTTTAATACATATCTATGGTTGTTAAATGAATATGACAGTTTGTTATAATCATGCATTTGGCAAGCAGTATATGCAAGCATAGATAAAACATACTCCTCGAGGAGTATGTTTTATCTATGATGCATCCATGATAACCACGGCCGCCTTTAACTCTAGGCCGCGGCCTTCGAAGTGGCAACGTGGTGTTGTAACAGCTGTTTGTGTTATTTACGAAAGATTGGTTACTGGACTATGACAATATTGACTCCGCTAAAAAAATGCACAGATATAGATTTTTAATTCGTATTGTTTCGGTTTTCAATTCTGTATGTTTTATTTAAAAAAAATGTATGTTCATAAATTTAAATCAATAAAGTGCGAATAAAGGAGCTGATGTCACCTGTCTGCAATGTTATCTTATGGGACGTCTGTCACTAAACAACACCACTTGCGACGTTGCCAATTATAGGCCAGTAAAAATAGGTTTTTGCCCGGAAATAATTCCCGGAAAGCTGGAAATCGTTTTAATCCTTTTGTTTTGTATAGAAGTAAAAGGATTTGAAGTTTGTCCCATTTTTTCAGGTGAGCTTCTGACCTGGGACCACAAAAACTTTGAAATTTAGGGTTATTTTTCTGTTTTTACTAAATCGTCAAAGAACCGTCCAGCCTAGAGAAAAACACATAAAAAAGGAATTGTAGAATAAAATTCCGCATCCATTGAGTATCTGGTAATGAATATCAAACCAATATTAAGTTATTTATAGTAATTTAAATAAAATTATTTCATTAGAAAATTATTTAACAATGCATATTTAACATTTGCATTTCTTCTAGAAAATTGATTCCAAGTACATTATTATTTACAAAGTAATTAATACGAATTACAAATACCCTCGCCGCAGCAAACCTGCAGACTAAATGATTTTCCATTTACTTGGCTGGATTTATACTAAAATATTCCCTAAAAATTGTCAGATTAATTTCCTATTTAATTAACATTAATTTTAGTGAGTACTTAGATTTGCTGCAACAGGGAAGATATTGAGATGTGTTTTTTTATGGCAATCCATTTTCTAGAAGAAATGCAAATGTTAAATAGATTGTTCAAGAATTTAAAATTACTTTATTTAAATTACTATAAATAACTTAATATTGGTTCGATATTCATCACCAGATACTCAATGGATGCGGAATTTTATACTCTACAATTCCTTTACCATGTGTTTTTCTGTAGGCTGGACGGTTCTTTGACGATTTAGTAAAAACTAAAAAATGACCCTAAATTTCAAGGTTTTTGTGGCCCCAGGTCAGAAGCTCACCTGGAAAAATGGGACAAACTTCAAATCCTTTTACTCCTATACCAAACAAAAGGATTAAAACGATTTCCAGCTTTCCGAGAATTATTTCCAGGCACAGCTAATTTTTTAACTAATTTTACTGGCCTATTATACCAGGCCGCGGCCTGGTGATAACACTACAGACATTGACTATACAGGGTGTATTTTTAAAAACTTGCATCATTATTTATGTAAAAACCGCAATATATAGAAATATGCAGTTTGCGGGAATCATCTATTGACGTAGGGGGCCCAATATTTTTGAACTCAACGTTACATTCACATTCCCCCCTGCCACCAAACTTAATTTTTTTAAATAGCAAGGTACCCCTTGTGACATATCAAATGAAAGGGCATGAAAAAAGAAAATGTTTGGTGAAATTTATATTTAATTTGATATGTCACAAGGGGTACCTTGCTATTAAAAAAAAGTTATGGGTAAATGAAAAGGGGGGTGGGGGGGGGTCATCTCACAAATTCATGAGCCGTTTTTCATTTTTTTCACCAAACATTTTCTTTTTTTATGCTCTTTCATTTGATATGTCAAAAGGGGTACCTTGCTATTAAAAAAAAAGTTTGGGGCAGGGTGGAAAGGGGGGGATGTGAATGTAACGTTGAATTAAAAAAAAAATGGGCCCACTACGTCAATAGATGATTCCCTTAAACTGCATATTTCTATCTATTGCGGTTTTTACATAAATAATGATGCAAGTTTAAAAAAAAACACCCTATATAGTCAATGCTACAGAGAAAAAAGTGCGTTGCAAAGATCCCCCATAGTTTCTGGCCATAAAACTGCACAAACTTATATTTTACTATTTAAAAGTATAAAATATTTATATACTATTTACAAGTGTGAAATGATATTTCTGGTTATCATACATATAACCATTTATTGAATTCACCAAGATTATACTCTAAGCTTATCAAAAGTTGATTGCATTTTTCATTTTAATTTCTGATCAGCTGTTGAGCTGTATAATTTACCGTACAACAGCTGTTATTTTTTTCTATTTAAAGAATAACAAAATATTAGTATGATAACCTAAACCTTAAAAATCCAAATCCAACAATGGATTTGTCAAAATTGCCAGTAAATGAACAATTTCACTACAGTTTTCAAGCTGGTCTGTTATCGTGTGGTGGTAGTGTTTTTGGAAAACTTTCTAATGTAAAATTTGGTTTAATTGATAACGAAGTAAGTTATTTTTTCCTTATGGTGTTAAATTTAAAGTTTTAATACCGTACATATCTTCAAGAGCTCCAACATAGATAGGAATTAGGATTTTAGGACTTTATTTGTAGGCCTACATGTTGTGCTATGCACTTAACCCTCCGAGTGTCACGTGTTTTGGCCTTAATGTCAGCCTATTTTTTGCTCATTTGCAAGGTTTTATTAAAACTGATCTGAGAAGCTTAAAAACAATGTTAATTATACTGTTCTATATACCATTTTGTTTGGAAAATCTTGGGCTTCAATATTATATATAAAACATAAGGAAGATTTAAAAAAAAAAAAATTTTTTTAGGTAAAAAAATGTATAATTTCGAAAATTTTCAAAAAAAAATAAGTTTGCGCTCAATGAAATTGTATAAATTATAGGCCTATAAATATTTGAAAATAGCCACTTTGTTCTAAATTTTATGAGGATTACAAATCTATAATAATATAAGGAAGTAGATTTGCAAATAAAAAAGTTATGGGCAAAAAACAGATTTCAGTACATAGCGTTTAGCTAAGAATGCATAGCCCAACCATAGCTAGGAATCTGGCTGATAATTTACATCAATATCACTACCTACTTCTTCAGGATCATCAACCAGCACTTCAAAACCACTTAAATCTTCTTATAATGCACCACGTATATCACTACTTTTGATTTTTAACACTAAAACGATGATAAACGTAATAAAACACATCAGTCATCGGTCCGAGGGTAACCTAGCTGTTTACAAATACACGCACGTCAGCTCAGTCAGCTGTCTGCTACAATATTTTCGGAACTAAAATGAATAGTGCTTAGAGACAGACCTCTGCAGAAAGCTTAGAATATTACGGACAGAACGATACCTAACTCAATCCAGTACAGTCCGATTCAGTTAGTCATAGAGCCTTCGCCGTAAACAGTGTTCGCGAGTCGCTGCAGCGACGCACGACACTATACAAAGTGCGTTACGCGTCGCTGCAGCGACGCATGACACTCGGAGGGTTAATGTAAATGATAACTAAGTTAAATCACAGGTGGCCTAAAGAATGTTCATATAAATCGTCAGGCTGAAATAATTTTTTAAATAAATTTTTAAGAGCTTAAATCTTACTTCCCCTAGGTAGACATATGTACCGGTATTGATAAGTTAGTCAAGCAAAACTTTCTAGGCCATGGTTAAGTTTAATCATTGACTGGCTGCACTTTACTTTAGGTCCTACACAAACAACTGAATCAAAATATCGACTATTCGATTTATCGTTTGGTTAGTTAGGTTAGGTTAATCTTACCTAAGTAACAAAACGATGGCTGCACTTTACTTGACGTCCTACACTCATTCGAATGAAAATATCGATCGATATATCGATTAATCGATTGCTTCATTCGATATATCGTTTGGTTAGTTAGGTAAGGTTAACCTAACCTAACTAACCAAACGATATATCGAATGAAACAATCGAATGAAAATATCGAATCGAAAAAAAAATCAAATGAGTGTAGGACGTCAAGTAAAGTGCAGCCAAAACGATATATTGAATAATGGATATATCAATCTATATTTTCGTTCGAATGAGTGTAGGACCTAAAGTAAAGTGCAGCCCATTGACTTTTTATCTACAAATGTACATTTAGATATAAGTAAATGGTATAATCTATACCTGTGTAATTAGTAACCTAATCAAAATTCTCAATCACAAATTTTGTGTAAAAAACAAATTTGAAGTGGATAATCGAATTGTGGTGTAACTTAGCCTCTGGATCACTAACTTAGGCCTTTAAAAATCAAATCAATTTATTTCAGAAATACCCTACAATATTACCTGTTATATTACCAAGTGATCCTGTTCTTGTCGTTAGACTACCATGGTTTCAAAGACTTTAATGCACGTCTTTGAAACCACACTTCCATATCTGCTGGCACAAACAACCGAATGAAAATATCGATCGATATATCGATTATTCAATATATCGTTTGGTTAGTTAGGTTAACAAGTAACAAGTAAGGTTAACCTAACCTAACTAACCAAACGATATATCGAATTAAAAAATTGAATAATCAATATTACTCATTTGGTTGTTTGTGCTAACAGAAATGGAAGTGTACCCTTTAATGCCTTCATTGTAAGGTCCACAAGGACATTAAGTGTCAGAACTCCTCTTCAACCTGAGTGTGAACATTCGTCATACGAAACGCTTAGCACAAAAACATTTAGAAGTTATAGTGGTCACAATTAAAGAACAAGCCGTACTTAATGCTTGTGTGCCGGTAAAAGTAAGATATGGTCAAGGGGTGTGTGGGTACTGGGTACTGGGTCATGTGTCCTGTGTTGTGACGTAGTTGCCTTCTTTTTAGCAAATTTCCCTATAGGGACGTAGGCCTACGGTTTTACGGGTGGTTTTATGGGGTAAAAATTGGTTTTTCTCATTTTTTACCCATAAAACAGAAAATTTATCAATTTCCTCCAGACCTTTTTAAAGAGCTTAAAATAACAAATAATTTAGTATATGAAAGTGTTTTTGTACGGTGATTGGTTACGGATAAAATTCAAAAAATTTTTAATTTAAAATTCCCATGTTATTCTTATGGAGAATATTATCATATGTTGTAGTTTGCTTGTTTATGGATATATTTTGATCAAACTTGGCAGATTTATTTATTTCATACTAAGCTATTGATATTTTAATAAAAAACACACTTTATTTCCCTGTAGCAGCTAACCTAGGTACTCGTTACATAAATGTTAATTTAATAGATTAATTGAAAATCAAGGCAAATGGAAATTCGCTTAGTCGGCAGGTTTGCTGCAGCGGGGGTATTTACAGTTTTAGCCAGAAATTTTGGTACTTCGGCATTATCCGGAGGCCACCCTTATACAGCGCGCTGCGGCGTTTATGTTAGGTTGGGTTATCATAAATATGTTTGTAGGACTTTTCTCGTTTCATTATGAATCAAACAATACCAGATGAGTCATACTTTCACTTGCCAAACCCCCTCCAAGTAGGCCAAGGTGAGGTCGTTGACCGGAGCGCACGCAACACCTGTCACCGCCTGTGGCAGCCGGAGGCGGTGACGCATACAGCTCAATCCTCGCCGACATCGCTGCCTTCTGGGAGACAGAACTCAAAGGCCGTTAATTGTAATCATGTCAAATTTGGACAGTACTGGTAAGTCAATTAACGTATGTTCTTTCCGTTTTTGATAACCCAACCTAACATAACCGCCGCAGCACGCTCTATAAGGGTGGCCTCCGGATAATACCAAAGTACCGAAATTTCATTCAGAATTATTTTTGTATGCCCCAAAACATTTGGGGATTGTTACCAGTAAAACTAGGTTTGTTTATTTAAAATAATTTATTTTTGTGAGCTTCGAGGAAATATTTAAGACAGCCTATTTTTGATTTCTCGATATCAAATAATAAGTTTGTTATTATTTGGTTACTTTTTGACTTGTTTACTTAAATCTCTTAGGTACGGCGTCAGTCTTATTTGCTGTACTGTATTAGGTGTGACACTATCCACAGTTCAAACTTTTGAAATGAGAATTCTTATAAAAAGCCAATTTACTAGCCGCAGCAACGGAATTAGAGATGATTCTGGTAAAATGTTCAGAACAGATTCAACAGCTGATCAACATTGTCGAGTCTGTTCCGAACACTTTACGAGGTTGTTATACAGTAGAACCTCGCTGATTTGAACCTTGATAATTCGAAAACCTCTATAATTAGTAATGTTTGTCTGTTCCCCTCAGAAAACCTCTAATATTCGAAAAATAATATAGGCCTACCTACCGATAATTCAAAGTGATTTTTACGCCTAATGCAGCCTCTACAATTTGAATTTGCACATACTTGAGCCTCTACAATTTATTCACATTTTGTTGTCATAAATTCAAATTGTCACCTCCAAAATTCGAAGTCAACCTCTACAATTCGAACCGCATTACCTCTGTAATTTGAATTTAGAACAAACAATATGCCTGTTGAAACATGAACTGACTCTCATTGATGTTCCCACGATGTGTTCATTAGTCTCCGTTCTCTCAAACTTTCTACAATTAAAACTGGGACCTCCATAATTTGAATTTTCCATAATTTGTTCTGACCTCTATAGGCCTAATTCAAACTCCCTATATTTAAAATTTCCTATAATTAAAAATATATTGTCTTTCCTCTGAAATTCGAATTAGTGAGGTTCTACTGTTCTAAGATTATAGTCTGTTTAAACAATATTTTTTGATAACAGACAAGAGAACTAAGAAGGGAACATATATTACTTATTCCCTTATCCGTGAAATAGGGTTTAATATCCTATGTAGACTGTATCATAAAAACTGTCAGTTACAGGTTGGTGTATTTTAAAATTTTGTAGTGTTTAATAATGGTATTCAGATTAATAATGACTCCCATGCGTTAAGTTAGTTGGGTTTGCTTACATTTTTCGGTAATTAAGTATTTTTAATTGAAGTTGTGTGGTCTGTGCTTGGACAGTATTTTGCTAAGTTATTGCTTGAATATTAATGGTCTGTTGTGTGTTATGTGAAAGCTGTCATGAGGCAAAAGGCATCCAATTACAAAAATACCGGTAAATTATTATCAAATTTATTAAACCAATATTACCTCATGAAAACTGAATTTAGTAATTGGTTTTTTCCAGGTTGCACAGTACATTGTTTCTGCTCTGTGTTTAGTTTTAATGATCATATGCAATGCTGCTGTCTGGACCTTTTTTGTAAAAGCACTTCAAGAATCCCCATCGACTTTCATTCCAACCATTAGTGTTGCTGCTGTCAACTACATTTCATCAGTAAGTTGATATTTTCTAATTAATTAGAAAGACAATTTTTTTTCTGGAAACATGTACTGGTGCAGTAAATGTGTCGTTCTGAGAGCCAGGTGAGTTTACCTAGCAGACTTCCTTTGTTTTCCTCCACCGGTTCAAGATTCATGTACCGGAAAAATCATACGATGCATAATTCACCAGCGGCCTTTGATTAAAACAATACGTATAGATTACCTGTATCTGTCAAGTGATCCTCAATTGTAGTTGTTTGACTACAGCTGTTTTGTGATTATAAACACATCTTCAGGTCAATGTTGCATTGATTTATCCCATCCATGGAATGGTTGCCATGAGGTTGAAAGCTCACAAATAACACACCTACACGAAACATACACATTAAATTGGCCAAAAACACAAATCCATAAAAAATGGTAACTACACGGTAAACCTAGCGGTAGACGCCAGAATTTTTGCTTACTGCAGCACAGCTGACTGTCTATATTCATTCTACTTGTCTATGGCCTTACGCATCTTAGACCACAACAGATAATAGCAGATGATGGGTGGGGGGCCATCACTTCCAGCACACTGCAGTCATGACCTACCTTCTACCGGCGCCACACGTGTCCGATATAGTTTTTTATGTATTTGTGTTTTGGCCAATTTAATGTTTAATGTTTCGTGTACATGTGTTATTTGTGGACTTTCAACCTCACGATGACCAATCTATGGATGGAATCAATCAATGCAATCATTGACCTGAAGATGTGTTTATAAACACGAAACAGCTGTAGTTAAACAACTACAATCGAAGATCACTTGACGGTACAGGTAATCTAAACCTTTTGTTGTAAAAATCAGTGATCCAGAGGCTACACCATAAAAAAGGTCTCTGATTAGTTACTGTAGTTTCTTTTACATCAGTCTGTAACTACGGAAAGATGTTGGGTCCTTCCTTCAAATAAAATGTCAACTAGGCCTACTTATAAATTTGATGGATTGTTCTACATCATAAATGAAACAAAAAAAAATTAATTTACTTATTCTGTGAAGGTAAATAAGTTAGATTTTAACTGTATGAAATAAATACAGTAGTAGGGTGAATACTATATGACAGGATTTTAGGATTTAGTAGCCTCATTTCTATTCAAGTTACTTTATGGGAAAGTAAAGGACATAATCTTATCAGCTCGTGTGCATCACAGGGAAAATCTAGGCATACTGTTAGATTGATATTTTCCTGTAGATGTGCAGAATCCCTTTAAATTAAAATCGGCTCAAGAATAAGGACAAAAAATGAATTTAAAATAAAAAAAAATTACATGGACCTTATGGGTTGCCATGCTTCTGACGAAATAACAACAAAATTTAAACAGAAAATATAAAAAAATGGAAGAAATTCCAATCACATGTTTTATTTACAGCGTGGGGTGAAAATAGAGAAGTTTGCACAATACATATTTATGAGTTGAGTTTTCAACCACGGGGCGACCTCTAGGTGTATGGATTATTTAAAAAATCTTAACTTCTTTCAGAGAATACTGTATAGAACACATCTTCATGTAGGCTAATATGTCATTTTAGTAGTTATTTTGGTACTATTATTAAAGTAGGCTTAATTTAAGCATCATAACTTAGAGATTCTTACTCCTATTCCAATCCAATGTGCACCCTAAACCAACCGTTCAGGGAGCCCAAGATTTTTGCCCCTGGGCGGTACCGGTGAGTAAGTCACCGGAACGTGCTCACTGGCCAGCAATATAGTGGGTAGCTGAGTGGTTTAAGAGCTGTGTTCGCCTGGTCTGCAACTCATGAGGAGTTTACCTATCCGTCGGTAAAACTGGTCAGCTCTAAACTTGGAGATGAACTCAAATCAGGCATTTCCTTTTTTCTGTGTACAGTATGTCCACTAAAACTTTTTATTTTAGGTAGAACAAATTGAATTTTGCATTCCCAATCGAACCAGATCACGTGAAGTATTCTACAAGAGATCTTATCCCTACAACTATCTACAACACTCTCCTCTTCCCAGATTGACAACATGGTATAAACAATTTTCATAAGAGGGGTGGTAGGGAAGGGTGATAAAAAAAGGCATGAATAAATAAATCACAAAAGTGGACTCACAACTTTACAACTTGTGGTTTTGGAGAAGATAAAAATAAACTTTGGTGGTTATTGAATCTAGTTGGTGTACACTGTATACTGTATGTACATACACGGTATATTTTTTATATTGTACAAATTTCTACTTTTTCATGTTTTGGGGTACGTTTAATGCGTGAATCTGAATGGGGTTGGACCTTTATAATATGAAGCACATAATTCAAAAAGAACGTTGGCACAAAAATTGTCTCTGAATTACAGACAGTTGACAGTTGAATCGGGATATGTCACACAATTTAAAATAGCGCCTCTGCACCATAAGTTATCACAAGCTGAATACTGGTTTAAAATAATTCATTCATTAATCTTAATTTTTTACCAGGCTCTGATCGGATGGTTGCTGTTTGGTGAGTCAGTCTCGACAATGTGGTTTGTTGGAACTTCCCTAATCATTGGAGGATTAGCGTTACTGGCTTCTGATTCTGCCAAGGAGAAAGTCACATGATTAAGTTCAGGTGTGTAAAAATGTTGTAAATTGTCTTTACAATGAGGCTTCTGATGTTTAAGTATAGCATTTCTTTGTATTGAAGGTTTAATGCCCCCTCAAACACGGCAAACATGTTTGTGACGGTGTTGGCGGCGAACATGCTCGCCCGTGTACGTGTGGGGTCTGCAAGCCTTCGTACCGACGAGCATGTTTGGCTCAGCGCTTGGCTCGTCGGACGTCACAGCCATACATCGATGGTCACAGCACGAGAGAAGCAAGAGTACTGTGCGGTGGCGGCAAGCAAGTTCGCGAGCATGCTCGACCGTCTGTTGGACACGCTCGCGAACATGCTCGCCCGTGTATGGGGGGGCTTAATATTATACAACAGGTGCTTTGTGTTGTTGGTAGCTGGCTGACCTCATTGATAGAGTTCATTCTGTCAAAAGAAACACAGAACCCACACAATAATCAAAATATTTACTGGCACTCTCTCACCTCTCAGCATTTTAACAAAGGAAGGCTTAAGTTACCGTACCATAAAAGACGCCTCCGGTGACAATTTCACTATTCTTGCACCAAGATTCATTTTACCCAGCTATGACTGCTTTTGCAAAAACAACCTACCATTTTGAAGGGTGCTGATTTGATCCCAAGTCAGATCATTTCTGTACCCAGAGGTACCATTTGTCAATCAATTGATGTTTTCTTACAAAAGGTTAAAGTTAAATAGTAGACCAGTGTTTGGACCATCAACTATAAACAAGTTTTGTACAAAAGTGTTAAATTTTGCTTAAACCTAAGCCTGAGTAGCCCACGTAACTACCTTTAAACAAATGTAGAATGACTGCCTCAAGTTATTATATTTGTAGCATCTTTGCTATTTCATATTTTACTGAGTACCTGTTATAACTTTGTTGTCTTCTGTTATTGTTATTATTTATTTCCAACCAATTTTGGTCCTAAATGAATAATTTATCTCATTTATGTACGTGATGATGGACCTTAAAACAGATTAAAATCTAAGTTTGTTTGATTGTGTATCTCTGTTTCAGATAGTGCAAAAAGTGATGACTCATCCATCAGGAAACGAAATCGGAGAAACTACAAGCATTGTTCACAACAGCAGTTTCGTATCTTTCATAAACTCAAAATTCTCCTCAGTTAAGAATTTTTTTAATGTTGTTTACAATTATTTAAAGACTTCATTTACCATATCCAACGTGAATCTTTATCCAACATTACGAGCCATAGCAACTCAGTTTGGACTCTACCTGTCGGCTTATTTGGTTTTTTGTTACATTCTGTATTTGATTCGTGTGTCGTTTCGTAACCGTTTGATGGAGTCAAAATATTTTGTTTCTTCGGCAAAAAGAATATTGTTGATCATAGCCCACCCTGATGAAGAATGTAGGTTTTTTGGACCATTCATTTTGAGGATGGTAGAGAAGAACAAGTGTCCTTATTTGTTGTGTCTAAGCAATAGTGGTGTAGACGGTAAGAGACAGGTGCGTAAACGAGAACTTTGGATGAGTTGTGAAGTGCTGGGAATAAAACCGGAAAATGTTTTCTTGTGCTGCAGCTCCCTGAGGGAGGAAAGAGGAAAGTGGAGAACTGAGAGTGTTGCTTCGTTGATACGGGATTACGTCGAAGCTCTCGGAATCGATACAGTGGTCACATTTGACAAATTTGGAATCGATAGACATGAGAACCATATCACTGTATTAAGAGCTATCAGTTCTCTCAATATCAGAAAGCTATTGCCAATGACATGTAGTATATTTTTGTTAGACAGCTTGGGGATTATGAGAAAATACTCAAGTATGATTGATGTAATTTGGAGCCTGTACTTATCTAAAGATGAGAATATCTTCATTTTGTCATCTTATGAACACGAACAGGTGCAAGATGCTATGAGGATGCATAAAACCCAGCTACATTGGCATAGGAGGTTATACATGAAGTTTTCTCGTTATACTTATGTCAATACATTTCATGAACTGCATCGTTATACATTACCCTTTTAGCAATATAAAGTGCTTTATTTTTGGATTAAAATACTGTATACACTTATTTTTTTCAAGTCTTTGTGAGTTTCCTCCCCATTTCTTTGGGATACTGATCCTTTAAAATAAAAGAAAGAGAACATAATACAGGGTGACAATTAAGTCTGGAGCCTTTTGTTTAATTTTTATACCACAATAGAAAAAAAATACCAAAATTCACACAATCTCACAAATCTCAAATATTTATTATAGTCTCCAAATTATAATTTCCCCTTAAAATTAATTGTAGTATCTTAATTTTTATTTCAAGAAATTCCACAATCACCCCAGTTATAAGTTTTAATCAAGTGGGCTATCAAATCCCCTTGTAGTCCCCTGCAATTTCTGATTTGAATTTGATAACTTTTTAACTGAGCCAAACCTAAAGTCAATCTGTTGTTTGACTATGGCATAGTCTCACTAAATATCTTAGCACGAACAATTAAAAAAGAATAGTAAAACACATCTTCAATTAAATTCTCTTCAATAAAAAAAAAAAAAAAAAACGGATACAGCTGGTTCATGCAGTTTTGTCTTCTTCAGTACCTATCTCATGGGCAATGGCCATTGGCCATAGAATATTTCACTTAAAAGAAAAGGAAATAAAAATAAACAAGTAACAGTTTTAATATTTTTATTTGGTAAAATGTGGATTAAGTAACAAAACCATACTCGTGATGTAAAGGTAACAAAAGTAATTGTCTCATAAACATAGTCTTTTAGGCATTAGATCAATTTATTATAAAAACTAGAATTTATATCACAAATGCAGTCACCCTATGTTACTTGTGTGTACAATGTTAAGCTTACGTTAGATTTGAGTTTCAGTGTCAAGGTTGGATTATCCACAGCCCCCGCCAGGACACCCCCTACGCGGGGGACGGTAGCCGCCACTGCCCCCACTTCCCATCAGGGGGTTGTATTCTGCGGACATAATGTTAAAAGTTAGGCTCACACATCTCAAGCAGCTGAAATTATTGTTATAGCATACGAAAGTGGAAATAATGTGCTGTGGTGAAGTTGTGTTTAATCCCTTTGGTTCCAGGGATTATTAAATTAATTTAACCATGCATATTTTTTCATGGTTTCCCCTCATCTTATGAACCCAAAATTGATAACGGAACATGTCAGATATTCAACCATTTTTGTCGAGCTATACCTTTGACTATTGAAACATCTAGACATTCCATCACCATGTTAATGTTGTCGCCAGTTTATAAATAAAAATTGCCGTGGTTGATGTGAGCCACTGACAGATTGTGCTGATGTAAATTACTAATTTTTGTTGAATTCACAAACATTTTTAAGAAGTCAAAATAATGGAACGACTTATTGTGAGCTTTGGTAATTGATATGACCCATTAACAGACATGCTGAATTTTAGACACTAGCCCATTCTGTGACAGGCTCACTTAAATAGGCTCTTTTATAAAGAAAAATTGGCGACAGCAAAACAGGATGTTTACTTTAGTATGCAATAGCCAATGGTTATACTCCTACTGACCAGTGGCGGCGATTGGGCTTGAGAGGTGGGGGGACGAAATCTAGATTTATTGTGATAGAATTCTATTTTATAATTTTGATAAATATTCCTTATGAATGTGGGGGGGCAACTGCCCCCCCCCCTTAACGCCGCCTCTGATACTGACTGTTGGTAAATAGAAATTTGGTGATGTCACTCAACTGCTGTTTGATATTTTAGACTTGGGAGCTCAAAGGGTTTGTGTAACATATGATAGGACTAAATAATTGAGTCTTGAAAATTGAAATACACGTCATAATAATCCTACTCCATTTTCTTACTCATAGTTTTTTACTTCCAGGATTTTATCAATCAGTATAGAAACAGAAAATTAAAATCTTTAATCATAGTTGTGCAAGCGGCTTAATTTACGGCTTAATTATCCTAAACGTTTGTTTAATCGAGTGGAGATTTTATAGTTGGGATTGGAGAAAGTATCTGTAAAGATTGTTTTCTTGAAAAATCAAAATATCGTTTCAATCTAATAGGATGATCATGATGTCACCACTCATAAATAATTGAAATAAAGTAGCCAATAGAACATTTTCAGAAAAAGGGGTGTATGTGGACTAGTACACATAGGTGGACAACAAGAAAACGCCTGGAAAAAGCTTCTAGAAATAAATTCTCACACCTTTTGAACTGGATTTTTCTGCTTAACTGTTTTATTCTATCTACTTATCTTACCCGGACGGTAAGGCTTTGTTGTAGAGCTCTTTGTTTGCGATGCATTCACTGCCGTGGTTGCTTCTCCATAGCCTAGCCTCTGCCCACCTTCTCTACTCGACTCTAGTAATGCTGCTCTCTTTTGTTCCTCCTTCTAAAACAAACAAGCTAAAACGTAAACCCTTGATAGCTAATGGAAAACTATCTCGATACAATCAAGACCTTACTCATCGGTACTATGAGACGAAAACCACACGGCATTTCTCTAACTTTTCCATATCAACTTACATGCAACATTAGCATGGTAGGTGTTTTGGTTTCGATTTTGTTGTTTTTAACTCTAAGATTCCAAATTAAACAGAAACTGATATAAATTTTAATGTCTGATTGTGAACCAAGTTCCATTCCTAAATCGACTGATACAAAAAGTAGCCAATACTTAAGCCAAGGATTGCTAATTTTAGGTACTAGCCTATGTGACAGAGCGATTAATTTGTTCTAAAATATGTTCATTGGAAAATTAATTTACTTCTTTCATCTTAGCAGCATGTTCAGCAGCTTTTCTATCCAATTCTTCTTGCATTCTTTTCCTGGCTACTTCCATTTCTCTTTGTCTTTGCTGCAACCAGTCTGGATCTAAAACATACATATTACTACTTATAATCCTTTCTCAAAATTTAGGCGGTTTGAGAGGAAGCAATTCCATGTCCTCCCCTGCCCCTACATTTAAAACAAATTACAATACCGTACCTAGAATTCTTTAGCTGGGTGCATCTCATTTTCTCCAATGAATCCCTTTTTTAAATATAGGCCTATTCAAAGGCAAATTTATTAATTCATCCGCATTTTCTAAAAATGAAAAAAATATTTGGTTTCATTGTTATGCTAACAGCACAATTAGGCCTGTTTATTCATGGGAAATCGTCAAAATCCAGCGACAATTTAGGATTTTTTGGAGGAGTATTTTCTTACTCCTGTAGCTGGGGGGCCGTTCGGTGAGGGTTAGATGATGGGGTAATGGGTGGTTAATGGTATGGAGGAGGGAATTCGGGTAATCAGGAGGGAATAAACAGGGTAAGGCTAATAGGTTAGGAATAGATGTGTCTGGACCAAACTTAATTTAAGCCTGCTGAATCTGCTACCAATAAAATTAGGAAGATTGCTGGGGACCAGAGGGACGGAGACCTTTTACCCAGATCAGAACACCTGCCTAGCCAGCTTTGATTTGAACTATGGAACTAACTATTTACATATTAATCTATCCTTCCCACTAAGAACTGAACTTGGATAACTGGAAATAATTGCTAAGTTACATTCTGGGAACATGTGGTTTAATATTTCATGTTCGATAAGGATGGGTGCTGAAGGCAGCCATCTCAGCTAAGAGTTAATTGACCTCATTTCAATAGTCGGGTGAGCCAGAAGGGCTCCCCGCTTGTTTCCTGAACTAGCCAGACATTATTGCTATTAATTTTAGTCCTAAGCTAAAAAACTTATCCGTAACATGAGAGTCCGGTTCGGCGAATTTTTGGCTTCCTTTTCGTCTGACGGTTGGTTGAGCAAGAAGGAGGAGAGGACAAGAGTCTAGGAGGGTGGGGATAGCGCGTTTATGCAGTCGCGGCAGGCAACGAGATAGTCATGCAGCCCGGCTTCGCGAACGGCACACACTATGTAAAATATAGCGTGTCGCTATGCGTCACACTCCTAATAGTTCTTGGTAAGGTAACCAAGATTTAGTTCTGGTAGGAACCTAAAAGGGGAAATCAAGCACTATCCGACAAGGAGCCAGAGAAGGACTAAAAGTTTTTTTTTCTATTTTTATAAAACAAAATTACTGTTTAACATTGGTATTTATGTGGCAAAGTGATAATGCACAAAAAACCCCTATTGCTATGAATGAGAATTTAAATCTGAAAGAAATTAACTTACCTTTTTTACATTTTGCTTCATATTCTTTTTCAGACTGTTCTCTGTATCTCTCATCCAAGTAATTACGAATTCGATCCCAGTAGAATATAATAACCAGCCCGATGATGAGGAAATACCAGCCGTAGGCAACAATGAACTCAGTGACTGAAATAAAAAACAAATTACATAAAATAATCAAATGTAGTTAAGTTACACATAATAATTTTTAAGTTATCATAAGTTTATTTTCAATAGGCCTAAGCTATACTTATACAGCATTTTATCTTTGTCTTAGCCTAAGGAACAAGTTCACAAAATATGTCCGGACAATTTGGAAACACCCTGTATAATCATCGAATACTGTTCCAACAATTTCCAAATCAAAATCAACACAAAAATCATTCAAATCAAGATTAGGCTATGACATTTGAGTTTTTCATGTGCGTAAATAGCTACCCCACCGTGTATGTTATTTTTCCAGGAATGGATGTTGGCAAGTTTACAGTCACCTATTTTTGAGTAAAAACTCGATTCTTCTTGAAAAAGCCAGTGCTCATTTATGGCAAAGATATCAGGTTGAATAAAATCCATAAAACTCTCCACTAGATTAAACTTAGTTCGCAGACATTGAACGTTGAGGAAAACACAAGGTCTTATAAACCTATAGGCCTACAATATAACTTACAGTAGGCCTAGGGCTATACAAATTTTAATGAATAGTGTCATTTTCATTTTTATTTTCCACGGCAATGCCATTTACAAAATACAATCAGTTAAGATTATAATAAGATTTGGGGGCATCAAAATGAAAAAGCAAATCGGTCCCTGGCCTAATTGGCTAAAAAGACAAGTAATTAGGATAGGCCTAGTCTACTTATTCCCGTCCTCGGTACCTAATCGCTAAAGAAGTAGTAAATTATGTATAAAGTTAGGCTGGTAAGGAAATGAAAGTCAGAAATGGTTTGTGTTCACACTAACCTTGATCGCATATATTAACCAAAAACGAAGGCGGACTTGGTTGAAATGATTCCGAGAATTCTTGCTGTTCACTAAGATCATCCATGCTGCTCTAAGTTATATTCAAATTAAATGGCGAGTTTCAAAGTTGCAAACAGTACTTTTCACTTTTCACCTAAATATCCGGCCTTGGGTCCTGACTTCTGAGTTGGAAGGTATAAAAATTAGTGTTTTTCCTATTATCTACCTTTTGTTTTTCTCCAGCAGACGGGTTTTCTTCTAGAATGCAAACTGCTGATGTCATTATTACGTCAACACCACTCCACTGACAGTTGGTTATTTCTTGATCCAAGATTTACAGCTGTTTCTTTTGGTTACTTCGCAGCACCTTGAGTTTTGTAAAGGTAAGTGATGTGTGCATGACAATATGACGTCATAAGAAAGTATGGTCTTAGATTAAATATCCTCATTGACAGTGTAAAACAGTGTTGTCACAGACTAGGGGAACTTTTGTTTCCCTTTTAAGCACTGAGCTGGAAATTATTGTTTCCCTAGTCTGTGGTGTTATGCAGCCAATTGAAAGCAGCCGTTTTTTCATCATGACGCTTTTAAGTATTGTGAATCATTTTGAGTAGCACGTTAAACGGTTGAGTCTAGATTACACTTACAGACACTACTGCATAAACTGGAACTCTGTGTGGCCACTGTGGTTCTAGCTGGGTAGCTCAGTGGTTATAGTGCTCGCCTAGTGATCATAAGGTTGCCGGTTCGATCCTGAAAAAAACTGTGTAGCTTTTTGATGGTTCGAAACTGGACATGGACATAAAGTTGCTGTCCTTGAGCATTGGGCTATTGGGCATTCAATAAATGGCCCTGACTTATAAAACAGCTGGTGTTAATATTGTTTTCCTACAGTCACCCGACAAAGTTGGCTTCCTTGTACTGTTTATAGTGCAGAAACCTGCTAATTGCTGCATATTTATACTTTGTCGTACGGTTTCTGGTATTTGGGTTAAAATACACACATGGATAGTTTCCCTATTTCTAATGAATACGAACACACCGAACACCACTTTGTAGTCCCGTCTGTGCTCTTGTACTCGGTAAAATGTTGTGGATCTGGAAGGTGAGGGAGCTCGCTCCGAGGAACTTATGCTGCAGCACAGGAAGCCACCAGGATGTGTACTTCACCTACTACTCTTCTTCAACCTTGCTTACTATATATAGATCATGGAGATTATTACTTCTTCATGTGCTTTACACTTACATACTTGAATACTGCGTCATCGGTGACCGACAAAGTCGGAAAAGATTGCCTTCAAATTTAAAACCAAAAAATAATAACTACTTATAATGGCGGCGCGTTGCCAAAGAGTGGTGTGTCCCATTCAACGAATACAGATGAAAGGAGCATGTTTTATCTATGGTCATAGAAACATACTCCTCAAGAGGTCTGCGCACCAAATAGTCCCTCAGTTTTGTCTTTAAAAGCCTTCACGTCCAGCTCGTGCACTTTAGATGGAAGTGTGTTATAGATCATTCTGGTATAGTAAGGGTAGCCCATTTGGGTCCAGGCAAGACGGCATCTAGGCAGGTCAAGGAGATGGGCATTTCGTGTCTGGTATGAGTGTTGGCCCTCACGTCAACGGTCGAGTAAAGTTTCGCTGAGTTTTCCTTGAGTATAATACCATACTATTGAGGATGTATGACTGTAGACAGTCAGAATCTTTAGATCCCTAAAGAAAGGCCTACAGTAGTCATGGTACCCGGCGGACGTAATCACCCTCAGAACCATCTCCTGAAGGAGCAAGAATTGTCATATGCTGCAGCTGTATGACCCCAGAGTGGGATGCCATAGCTTACGTGGCTTTGAAAAAGAGCATGGTATATACAGTCACTAAGGTTTAGATATTCAGTTTCCTCAGATCCCTGCCTCTGGTGACCAGTGTGGTGTCGTCTGCAAACAGCAATGTTTTATTGTTTAAGACCAGATCATTTATAACGATAGTGAAGAGGAGGGGGCCAAGAACCGATCCTTGGGGAACTCCATGTCTCAAAAGCTTCACCCCAGAATTAAGTCGCACCGCCGAGAGACACAACTTGCTTTCTACCTTCTAGATAGGAGATGATAGTTTGCAGAATTGCAGGACCACGCCAGCAGTGTACATTGTAATGGTAGGGCGTTTTGGAGAAAAGTTTAATTCAATAATAAATTTAAAAATGTATATTGTAAATTATTTTCAATCAATCAAACAATTGTAGAAGTAACAGTTACAGCAGTTGGTTGTGTACAGTAGATTGCTGTGTGTAAGCAGTTTTGTGCTGCTTCTTGCATTCAGTAAGTTCAATACCCAACAAATTGCTGATCATGGCCTTGCCCTATCTCTTTGCAGCCAAATTGAAAAACACCTTCGGTGGTAGACCTTTACCAATCACTCACACTTCCCTAGGAACCAGCGCCGGCTGGCCAAGGTAAGGCCGTTATCCCTCTTACTTTTAAACTTGATATTTTTGGACTTAGAGCACAGTTTTGAAATACTAATAAAGACACTTAATACTTTTTATATTATAAATTCATACATTTTGTTACATAGATTTATTTAGTGAAATGTATAATTAAACTTAAAAGTTCAACAAGGCCAATATATAATACATTATTTTAATCCACAAGCGCTTTCAGAAACTATGTTTCCATCGTCAGGCTGTGTTTAAACTACAGTAGTTTAACAAATTTAAATTAATTTACTCGATTAATTGTATCTTCATTACAGACTCTACTCTATTACTTTAGAGAGGGCAGGCAGTATGGCAAAAATAGGCCTGTAGTTGGACAGCAGTGTGATTTGTCACTTTTCCTGAATACTGGGATGCCCCGAGCAGTCTTGAGCGCGTCAGAGAAGCATCCGTTTCTCTGACAGGTTTACGATAGTCAGTCGTGAGTGGGTCCACGATGGTGTGGATGACAGCCTTCAAAACAGAACAGAAGACACCAAAAACATACTGGCTATTTGAGCTATTTAACTATCTAGCTTAATAATAAAGCTAGGGCTCACCTTATTCTAATGATTTAGGCTGCAGAATGATGAGACATCCAGGAGATGAGAGGCCGCCGGAACTAGTTTTCCTAGTGGGGCCTTGATTATGCCACAACTTTGTCAGCTATTCCTGAGAAAAAGTTGTTAAAATCATTAGGGGAATCCTCTGTTACGGTATAAGGTCTAGGAGACCTGTGAGAATTAACAATGTCCCATGCTGCTTTACAGGTGTTGGATGCCTCTTTTATCTTTAACTTTAACACATTGAAGCCTATTTTGCTTCGTTTACTTTACAACGATAGAGTCTTTTGGTTTGAAAATATAAAGCATGGAATCTTTCTTTCCGTTCGGGGACAGTGCACGTCTTATAAAAATCAGATATAAAAATCGTGAAGAATGCATATGTAAGGGCGTAGTTTGCCAGTTCCTCGGTGTAGGTACCAGGATTTGTCAGTTTGGGGATTGTTACTAGAACGGGCTTTGGCCTACATGACTTTGAGATAATGATAATGCTCTACTACTTTCCTGTCGAAAGGTAGGGACTTGGAACAGCTCAAGGCGGGAACTGTCAGAATCTATTCTAGAATCTATTTATTTATTTATTTATCATACGGTAAACACCATTTTTACAATCGATCTATATCGAATCTATATCTAAAGACAAAGACTATATAGTTTTCTCTTGCAAACAGGCTTTAATCGAATGAGAGTAAGATGGAAGGCCCATACAGCTTCATCTTCACGTTTTGAAACTTGAAGTCCAGACTCACTGTGAAAGTGAAATTATGGAAATTATTGGATTTCTTGTAAGATCCGAAATTGACATGGGCCGAGCAAGTCTTTGACCAACCTTTATTGAGTTTGACTGTTGGGTTCGGTTTCCTACCAAGTAAACGCTACAGTACTGACTTTAATTAGGATCAAATCAATCTTCTTCTATTATAATATGATAACAAAAAGTAATTTGAGTACGTTCGCAGGAATACATGTAAAATAAATTATTTTACATGAAAAATGGTCATATGAAATCACTTTGTCGTAGATATTACTTCCTCTTTGTTACTGTCAACTGTCGAACTGTCTCCCCAAAACTAGGCCTAGATCAGTGATCCAGGTCCCAGGATCTGTCTCCCGTCTGTGTTCGGTCGTGCATATTTCGTGTGTTTTATTTAGTTTTGTTCTGTGTTTTGAGATTCTTAACATCAGAATTTCGGTAGTTTAATAGCTATGGTATCTACATTGAATGTGGAATATGTGAAATCGTGGCGTCAATAGAGAAATGTTAAGTGTTTTATGTGCAGTGACAGAATTCCCGGAACATGAAGTTTTCTGAGTGGTAGTGTTTGTGTGATTGGGCCATAGGCCTGATATTATTTTGAGTGAGTTCGTTAAAAGTCAGAGGATAAACATGGCAGATTTAGAAGCCGTATTAGCTGATGTCAGCTATTTAATGGCAATGGAAAAGTCGAAATGTACTCCAGCAGCAAGGGCCAGTAAGAAAATAGTCCTACCAGACCCTAGGTAGGCTTACCTCAAATTTGTATTACTCATTTTAATGTGTGTCCTAGTAGACCTAACTTATCCCATAGGCCTACATACCTTTTTAAGTTAGGTACGGTATTGCCTTCAAATTTACATATGTCTACTGCCAAGGGTGGAAGTTTGAGGGATGGGCTATCAGATTTAGGCCGCCTACCTATTTACATTTAACTTAGGCCTGAGTCATTCCACGTCAAATCACCCAAAAAATTTAGGTTATGAAACCCACCATCTCAGAATTTGATGAAACTTTGTGAAAATGTTCATTCCTATGCCCTAAGTAAAAATACAAAAATTTTTGAAGATACTGCTGATACTTTTTTTTATATTAATTTTTTTCCGATACACCGTTTTGACCATTTCAGGCCTCGGAATCGACAACCAAATGTAGCCTGGGCGACCAAAAAATTTAATTATTCACAAACCATTTAAGATAACACTTTCAAATTTTTAAGGCATGTTTCCTATGTCTTGAACATAAATAAAACAATACATAGGTCACTCTAGAGTATAATAAAAATTTTATAATATTATTATAAATTTTAATTTAATTTTTTCAAATTTGACCGTCATGGATTGTGAAAAACGGCTATAACTTTTTTCTCCAACCAGCTAGAACGATTATTTTTTTTGCAGAATTTTCCTTAAGCTATTACCTGTTTGAAAATATAAAGATATTAGTGGTTTTTTATATACAGATATTGGAACAAAATAGTTTTATTAAAATATTAATTAACGCAAAAAATTTAGTAACATATATTTTTTATCTTAAAAAAAAATACTTAAAAGAATTTGCAGTTATGAAAGCTTAATTCACATAAGTCCTGTAGTTCTATGACAATATAATAAATAAAATTTTTGAAGATTACTTGATATTTCCTTAAACAAATTTAAAGCTAAAAGCTTGTGAGCGGTATACCTTGAAATGGTTGTAACAAAATAGTTTAATGTTTTTTTTTATTATTGGCTAATTTACAGCTTGAGTAAATTTTATGGCATGAGAGATTAGTCACATGACATAGTTATTTTGATTTGAAGTCCTTCCTGACTAGTAGCCATTTTTTCAGGTTTGATTCAGCCAGCTCTAAGTCCTTGGTTGTAAAGCTCGCTGAAGGCTTACTTTTCTGTGTGTGCTTTTTTATGGTACCTCCAAGACCATCTCAGGTTGACTTACCACAGCTTGTGGCATAAAAGGAGTGCTTAGCATTAATCCCAAAATCGTAGCTATTACCGTAGGTCTCATGGTAAGACTTAGGCCCGGGACCGATTTACTTTTTCATTTTGATGTCCCCAGAGGCCAAAAACACCACTTGTTCAAATTTTTATATATGTATATATATATATATATATATACAGGGTGAGTTTCTACTGACCGTGTTAACTTCGCCAGTGGGTTCTACTCACTAAAAGGAACAAAAAAGTTCCTATAAACCCATGTCTGATTTTCGACCGTTTGGCTGTTTTGGGGGATTTTGTGTTTTTCTTATTTTATTAGACTTTGCTCCACAATTTATGTAATAAAAACTTAACCAATTACTTTAGAGAGTTATAGTTATTATCATTGGAAAGAACATTAAATTTGCTATAAATCAAAGGTTTCATTCAACAATTATACCATTACATAGTCCACGTTATAACCAAAATAAAGTAAAAATGTCATTAAATTAATTAATTACGATAATTTTCATGGGCCTCCTTTGATACATAAACCTGCATTTATGCAATGTTGAAATGCATAAAAAACTTGGCATTTTAATAATCTTTCAAATGATATGCTATTCAATACTATTATTGATATAAACCAGTGAGAAATTACTAATAAACTACAATAAAACACGGTTTACAGATTTTGTGTTTGCACAGTTTTACTGTTAATAATAATTACTGTATACTCCATGATGTATTTGATTGAACTATCTGATAAAATTTGTACATTATTTTAACTTTTAAATATTTATTAAAATTATCTGAATTAATAAAATGTATAAACTCAAGGTTTTTCACATTTTCAAAGATGTAGTGTGTTTGATTCTTAAATGCTGTGTAATTAGTTTTACCTTGTGCTTGATAAGTCAGCTTTTATTGATTTGTCATCTATAGCTAGATAACTCAGCCGCTTGAACATACCTTGTTGAGTAATTTGCTGTTTTAACTTTATATTTCCAAGTCAATTAAGAGTTTTTCAACATTTATTAAAATATGGAGCCTTTTACCAATCAAGATTATGCCAACATGATGAATACAGTAATTATTATTAACAGTAAAACTGTGCAAAAACAAAATCTGTAAACCGTGTTTTATTGTAGTTTATTAGTAATTTCTCACTGGTTTATATCAATAATAGTATTGAATAGCATATCATTTGAAAGATTATTAAAATGCCAAGTTTTTTATGCATTTCAACATTGCATAAATGCAGGTTTATGTATCAAAGGAGGCCCATGAAAATTATCGTAATTAATTAATTTAATGACATTTTTACTTTATTTTGGTTATAACGTGGACTATGTAATGGTATAATTGTTGAATGAAACCTTTGATTTATAGCAAATTTAATGTTCTTTCCAATGATAATAACTATAACTCTCTAAAGTAATTGGTTAAGTTTTTATTACATAAATTGTGGAGCAAAGTCTAATAAAATAAGAAAAACACAAAATCCCCCAAAACAGCCAAACGGTCGAAAATCGGACATGGGTTTATAGGAACTTTTTTGTTCCTTTTAGTGAGTAGAACCTACTGGCGAAGTTAACACGGTCAGTAGAAACTCACCCTGTATATGTGTCCGTGAACACGATAACTTAAGTAATTTTTATCCGATTTTGATGAAATTCGGTTTGAAGGTGTAAGGCGGGATAAACTTGAATGAGTTCGCGATCCAGCATGATCGGACCATGGGAACAGGGTTTTATGGGGTAAAAATTGGTTTTTCTCACTTTTGACCCTCAAAACACAAAATTTCCCAATTTTTATCTAAACCTTCTTAAAGAGCTTAAAAAAACAAACAATTCAGTATATCAAAGTGTTTTTGTACGGTTATTGGTTACGGAGAAAACTAAAAAAATGGTAAATTTAAAATTCCCATGTTATTCTTATGGAGAATATTGTAAAGTGTTGTAGTTTGCTTGTTTATGGATATCTTTTGATCAAACTTGGCAAATATATTCATTTTATACTAAGCAATAATTATTTTACTTAAAACACACACTTTATTAGTTTCCTTGTAGCAGCAAACCTAGGTACTCGTTAAACCTAATGTTATTTAAATAGATCAATTGAAAATCAATTCAGCCAAATGGAAATTCGCTTAGGCGTCAGGTTTGCTGCGGCGGGGGTATTTGAATGTTCATTGACTACGGAGAAAATTTAAAAAATTGTGAATTTAAAATTCCCATGTTATTCTTATGGAGAATAAATAAACTGTTCTAGTTTGCTTGTTTATGGATATATTTTAATCAAATTTGGCAATTTGGTTTATTTCATACTAAGCTATCAATATTTCAATTGAAAAAACACACCTCAACATCTTCCCCGTAGCAGCAAACCTAACTACCTACTCACTAAAATTAATGTTATTTAAATAGGAAATAAATCTGAAAATTTATAGGGAATATTTTAGTAGAAATCAAGCCGGGTAAATGGAAATTCGCTTAGTATGCAGGTTTGCTGCAACGGGGGTATTTATATTGCCCGTCACATCCATCCGTAGAATAGTGCACCTTTTTGACTGATGGAAAACTGTCTTTCAGCCATTTCATTAGTTTTATTTGGACGGCACTAACAAAAGAGACATCACGATCCAAGTCATCACTACCTTGATTTTACACAGTGATTTTAAACCTTTAGTTACAAACTTCGAACTTTAAAATTTGGTTATAACTTCAAAATTCTGCCAAATCAAAATAACTATGTATGTGTGTAATCTCTCATGCTATAAAATTTACTCAAATTGTAGTCCTTCCTGACTAGCATGCCATTTGTTCAGGCTTGATTCAGCCAGCTCTAAATCCTTGGTTGTAAAGTAATAAGTTCTACCTGTAGAACTTGTTTGTGGAGCACCTACTGAACATACAATGTTACTAAAAGGGATCAAGCCGGAATCTTTCTCTTTGTGGCCAGTAAAATGATTTATTAGCACCATATGGATGCATGAACACTAGTTCAGCGTCTTCATATTCATCTGAAGCATTCCTCACAAGAGCAAAGTACTAATGGCAAAATCCCAAGCTAAATCTTTAAAACATCTTAAAGAAAACCTTTCTCCTAAATGATGCAGTAATACTGTTGGACTTTAGTGAGAACTATTGTTTTGTGATTCAAAATAAAATTAAGATTCTGAGCTATCACTGGTCAAGAGGCGGTTGTACACTTCATCCCGTATGTGTTTATTTCGCGAGTGAGGGGGAACTAAAGGTTTCAAACCACTGTTTTATTAGTGATTACTTGGATCGTGATGTCTCTTTTGTTAATGTCTTCCAAATAAAACTAATGAAATGGCTGAAAGACAGTTTTCCATCAGTCACAAAGGTGCACTATTTTACAGATGGATGTGATGGGCAATATAAAAACAGGAAAAACTTTAAAAATATATATGAGCATGAAAACGATTTTGGGATTAATGCTAAGCACTCCTTTTATGCCACAAGCTGTGGTAAGTCAACCTGAGATGGTCTTGGAGGTACCATAAAAAGCACACACAGAAAAGTAAGCCTTCAACGAGCTTTACAACCAAGAACTTAAAGCTGGCTGAATCAAACCTGAAAAAATGGCTACTAGTCAGGAAGGACTTCAAATCAAAATAACTACGTCATGTGACTAATCTCTCATGCCATAAAATTTACTCAAGCTTTAAATTAGCCAATAATAAAAAAAAAAAATAAACTATTTTGTTAGAACCATTTCAAGGTATACGGCTCAAAAGCTTTTAGCTTTAAATTTGTTTAAGGAAATATCAAGTAATCTTCAAAAATTTTATTTATTATTGTCATAGAACTACAGGACTTATGTGAATTAAGCTTTCATAACTGCAAATTCTTTTAAGTATTTTTTTTTAAAGATAAAAAATATATGTTACTAAATTTTTAGCGTCAATTAATATTTTAATAAAACTATTTTTTTCCAATATCTGTACATAGAAAACCACTAATATCTTTATATTTTCAAACAGGTAATATCTTAAGGAAAATTCTGCAAAAAAAATAATTGTTCTAGCTGGTTGGAGAAAAAAGCTATAGCCGTTTTTCACAATCCATGACGGTCAAATTTGAAAAAATTAAATTAAAATTTATAATTTTTTTATTATACTCTAGAGTGACCTATATATTGTTTTATTTATGTTCAAGACATAGGAAACATGCCTTAAAAATTTGAAAGTGTTATCTTAAATGGTTTGTGAATAATTAAATTTTTTGGTCGCCCAGGCTACATTTGGTTGTCGATTCCGAGGCCTGAAATGGTAAAAACGGTGTATCGCAAAAAATTAATATAAAAAAAAGCATCAGCAGTATCTTCGAAATTTTTTGTATTTTTACTTAGGGCATAGGAATGAACATTTTCACAAAGTTTCATCAAATTCTGAGATGGTGGGTTTCATGACCCGGGTGATTTGACATGGAATGACTCGCCTATTAAGGATGCTGGAGACCAAAATATACTGCTGGGGGTTTTTAAGAATCAAGAGGGGTACAGTTTCTTAACTGGGCTGAGATGCTAATATTGATTGAAACTAAGTTATCGATTCGATTGGGAAACCTTCATGCGATTTTTTCACCATCAGCAAGTTTGGTTGATTAGGTTAGGTTATGATAGTTTTATTTTATAATAGACTAGCAGAGTACCCGTCCTTCGTACGGGGTTGGCATATAAGTATCAAATGCTTATAGCAGTTATGAGTGAGGACATGGTTTAAGAAATTTAGGTTCTCTTTGAAGTTTGTTCGCTATGCTCACTCACCTTTAGGTTGGAGCTCGTTCGCTGCGCTCACTTTCCTTCAGGTTAGCTCGTTCACTACGCTCACTCGCCTCCAGGTTGAAGTTCGTTCGCTACGCTCACTCACCTTTTGCTGTTGTCATAAATGTAAAAGAAATAATAGTGCTAGTGCTGCACCCTGTTGGTAATCCTTGTAACTTTAATGCTATTGAACATCACAGAACAGAACCAACTTGTTTAATTGAAACAGCTGTTAAGATTCAATAATTTCATTTCTCATAAGGTTAACATGGGAAACTCCAGAGCCACTGGGGCGGAGCCCGAAAGGATTTTTGGGATAAAAATATGCCTATATGTTAATCGGGAATGTGAGCTATCATCATGCCAAATTTCAGCCCGATCCGACCAGTAGTTTTCGCGTTTACTTTTCCCATACACACACACAGACACCACCTCTTTTTTATAATAGTATAGATATACCCATTTAAAAATATCGATTATTAATCAATATTTTCAATTCGATAGTTTCAATCAATATTAGCATAACTTAGCCCAGTTAACCCTCCCAGTGTTACTTGACGAAAATTCGACAAGCAGCACACTTTCTGTAGTGTTACTTGTCGATTTTTCGACAAGCAGACATCGTTTACGGCGAAGGCTCTATGACTGACTGAATCGGATTGAACTGGATCGAGTTAGGTATCGTTCTTTCCGTAATATTCTAAGCTTTCTCCAGAGGTCTGTCTCAGCGCTTTTTTTTCTCTGAGCCGATCGTAATTAATTGTAGCAGACAGCTGACGTGCGTGTGCGTGTATTTGTAAACAGCTAGGTTACCCTCGGACCGATGACTGATGTGTTTTATTACGTTTATCATTGTTTTAGTATTAAAAATCAAAAGTAGTGATATACGTGTTGCATTATAAGAAGATTTAAGTGGTTTTGAAGTGCTGGTTGATGATCCTGAAGAAGTAGGTAGTGATATTGATGTAAATTATCAGCCAGATTCCTAGCTATGGTTAGGCTATGCATTCTTAGCTAAACGCTATGTACTGAAATCTGTTTTTTGCCCATAACTTATTTATTTGCAAATCTACTTTCTTATATTATTATATATTTGTAATCCTCATAAAATTTAGAACAAAGTGGCTATTTTCAAATATTTGTAGGCCTATAATTTATAAAATTTCATTGAGCGCAAACTTATTTTTTTTTTGAAAATTTTCGAAATTATATTTTTTTTACCTAAAAATTTTTTTTTTGAAAAAATGTTCCTTATGATTTATATATAATATTGAAGCCCATGATTTTCCAAAGAAAATGGTATATAGAACATTAGAATTAACATTGTTTTAAGCTTCTCAGATCCGTTTTAATAAAACCTTGCAAATGCGCCAAAAATAGGTGGACATTAAGGCCTAAACTATGGACACTTGGAGGGTTAAGAAACTGTACCCATTGAGAGTACGGTATGCTTAATTTTTTAATTTTGTATTAGGCCTAGATCCGTGACAAGGACTATTACTACTACATATTGTTTCTGCCTAGAATGGAAAACTCACTGGTTAGGTACTGTTTGCTTAGATCTTGTTAGTGTTTGTTATCGCATTGTAAATTAATTTATTGTTCTGTTTTTGTTCTTGTTTAAATGTTTGAATTCTTGAAATAAATAAATGAAATGAAATTAAAGGACTAAATGGTAAATAGGCCTAAGTTAAATATATCAGATCACAGCTCTGCCTTAATTTAGGCTTTAGGCTTAATAAAACATTTCTTGATGTTGCATTTAATTTAAACAATGTAGGCCTATCACCTCAAGTACCGGTAACATAAAAATATAGTCTAATGAAAAAATTGGGTATTTATTGCGACGAATGTGACCATGGGAACCTATTATAGATTTATATAGCCTATAGCCTATCACTAGAAACTAGATTTATATAGCCTATCACTAGAAACTAGATTTTTAGCTAAAAATAATGGTGCAAAAAAGTTTTCCGCGCTCTCAAATATTAACAGAGTTACGGCTAAGTTTTATTTACCGTACTATGTTTTTTTGACCTAGGCTAACCTATTTATAAGCCTATGAAATGTTCTCTCCAGATACTTTATATATTATGTTAATTATTGTAATTAATTAAAGTAGAAGACTCCCTTTTTACCTGGAAATAACAGTGCAAAAATGTCTCAGAGGCCACAAATATTAACTAAGGTACCGTCAGATGGGGCTACTTTGAACTGTGGGGACTATGAACGAAAAGTAAAAAAATGTTTTGACCCTGTATAACACACATTTAATATGTCATATCCTGCATCTAATACACATTTTCTAATTCCTTAGTTTATTTACTTTAAGAATATACCTAGCATAAAGTTTGTGTAGTATTGTTTAAAAAAATTAAAAAAAAATTTATCTGTGTCTACGTTTTTTCCCTAAAAATCGAACCCACCCAAACTCTTTTGCGTACACCAAAAATTACAAAAGATTGGGCCTTCAAGGTATTTTTTTATGATACCTTATTTAATTGGGTTGATATTCATGTCCCTTGAAAAAAATTAAAAACACCAAAAAATGTATATATTTTTTTCAAAATTATTTTGCGTATTTTTTCCATACAGCGATATGGTACAAGTTTTTCCGGAACCATCGATGATATCATCACGAAGGTCAGGTGTATTCACCTTCAATACAGACCTCAGCAACTGCAGTATTATGTAAAATAAAGAAAGTGAAAAAAACTGTATCTACAGTTTTTTGTATAATTTTGTAAAATATTGTAAATATATGGTAGTATTTTTATGCTTTTTAGTAAAGTCCAATTATTGAGTCAGCTTTATTAAAAATCGCATGTGATTGCTTTCAAACTTGTGTTGCTTTGTCAATTATTGGCTCTTCTTGCTTACCTATTAAAGGAAAAGACTAAAGAAATAACAAAGGCTTTGTGATTCTTATTCTGTCTTATATTAAGTCAAGTTTTACTTTAGGCTATTCAAACGTTTAGCTCACTAAAAATTTATTGCCTATTCAGGCCTACTTATTTGTTTGGTTTATAATTATTTGAGCATATAGGATAGGCCTACTCCTCTCCAGTTCCATATGGTTAAGATGGGGTTCCTACCCAATTGTGTTACCTAGATACGTCCAATGTATGCCGAAGTCTCCAAATGAAACATGAGAGTGGTTTTTGTCTGATTAGTAGGCTAGACCTAATTGGACTAACATTGTTTCCAATTCTTTGTTTCAGTGTTCGGAGTGTGATGCACAAGTACCTTGAAAAGAAAAACGAAGTGAATTTTGATAAAATATTCAACCAAGTCTTAGGTGAGTTAAAATTATTCTGTTCAATTACAAATAGTTCAGACCGTACAGTACCTACTAAGTTTCTGTAGTTATTTTGATCAAAACTAACATTTATTAATACTAGTGCACCTGTTGCTCGAATTCGAACAATTGCAAAGTATTACAGACGTTATTTCAAAACGAACAACAGTCATAATTTCCAATGACTTAAGAGAGTCAACTCAAAGGTAATGGAATCAATCACTCCACTCCAGTTATCGAAACTAAAAACAAACTCACTCTGAAACGAACGCTCTTGTCTGTATCATGTGTTTACTATGAACAGCTGTTCAATTAATACAAATTATATGTCTGTTTAAGTAAACAAAATATTTTCTTCAAGAAATGCATTGGGATTTTGATGGCCTGTGGGTCAAAGCCCAAGGACTTTTATTACAGGAATTGGTGAAAGGGGGCGTCTACACAAAAAATACTTAATTTTGACATACCTATCGTTTGTAAAAATCCGTCCATTATTAAGGGAGGAGTAGTGTTTCGTAGAAAACGCCTTCACGTATTATATATAAGGATTTATTTGACTGTTGGGGAAAGGTTAGTAAGTAGGCCTATCATTTTTGTAGTGATGTTTTATGATAATATATGCGCATCATCATTAGGCTATTATATTCCATGTTAGGGAAACTTATTTCACAGGAGCCTCTTCCTAAAGCTCATCATGTGAACATTCCATATCAACTCAACCAAGTTAATGTAGTTTTCATCACTAGGAGTGAAAGCGGCTCTTTTTGGTACTACACTTTCTCTCCGGGTGATGAAAAACCATTTTAGTTATATTATGGAAATAACCTTCTAATTGTTACAAAATTATACCAAATAATTTAAGGTTATTTTAAAGTCTTCATCAATTACATATCAGTAGTTTACAAACATAGCTTAAAATATTATTTGAGTTTTCATAATTTACTTAGGCTATATCAAATTTTGAGGTTAGCGTTACCTACCGAAAAATTTTGCCTACTAAGTTTTCTTTTCTGTTCCCTATTGAAGTTACCTGAAAACGACGATTTCGAGGAATGCATTGGCTTTTTTCCTGGACAGTATGATGGAAACAAATTTAAAATTTACTCAACTAAATTTGAAGATATTACACTTTAGTGAACATACAACCAAAACAACACAATAGGCTATCTTGTAGTTAATCGTAGATGAACTGTCCAAAAATCTCAACAACTATTAACTAATGTTTAGTTAGGGGCCATAACTGTATAGGCTACTCGGTTACTGTACTTGCTAAACGACAATGTTAGTTACCATTTAAACTAATTAGGTCATATATATTTCAACTTATTTTAGTACTAGTTGACTACATAAGCTATATTTGCAATATAAACTTGTAAATATTATGAAACCATTTTGATTAACCAATCTTAGTATATTAATTTATCTGAAACAAGTCAAAACTTCAATTTAAACTATTTAAGAGAACAAATGGATAACCAACTCATATTTAATTAAATTTGTTTATATGATCTGTGCTACTAAATCACAATAATAAATTAAATCTAGAGATAAAACACTACCTTTAGAGAACATCTGGATAGTGAAAGTATAATATGTATTAAAGCATCTCCGAGTAAATAGAAACAGAAATAGTGTTTCGGTTGTACATTATTAGCTCCCTAGATGCCAAAACTGGCATTAAGTGTAAATCCAGCAATATCTGCGTTATTGACAGTTCTGTTTATTAAGATCTAATTAAGACCAATAATAGGCTCGGACAGTAATTGTAAACTTATCGTTAAAGTTATTTTTTTATTATAACTCAAAAGTATCTCTAGATATACCTAATAAGGTAATTCTGAATTGACTTATAAGGGTGTTTGGTCGAAAATTAGATCTCAGATTTTTTTTATTGTTCAATTATACAAAAAATTAGAGACACAGATATATAAGAAATATTTTTTTAGGTATGTTGAATATTAAGGGAGATATAGAGCTTGAAAGTAGTAAATTTGTAATATTTTGGTATCAAATCACAGGGTTTTGCGATTCTCACCAAAATTGGCGTTCAAACGTGAAAAAATAAGATAATAATCACTAGCTATTTAAAATAAAAAACTTTTTATCCTTTTACAATTTATTTTTACTTTTATAAAATTAAAAAAATATTTATCATTTTTTTAATAGTTTTAAAATTAGCTGTTTGTCTTTGGGGTAAATTCGTCTATATGTAGGATTTTTTTAAATGCAATATGTTTACTCGTTTGGGCTGTGAATACGTGACACCTTAGATGCCTTGCGCTGGTAGCGCACTACTCGTTGGGAGTGTGTATAAAAGGATATTCCCTATGAAAAATTCACTAAAAATATTAAACTAAGCGGTAAGATTGTTTTATTCTAAAATAAATTAATGTATGTGTAATTATTTCAAGCAGTGGGTTTAAAGAACCACATTATTCTGTTCCGTGTCCTCTTCCCGTTGTGAAGCATGAGTAGTAGCTATTAGGGATGGATCTGATAATTTTAGGAAATATCCACTAGGTGTATGGATGATTAAAGCTCTGCTAATAATTATAATAGGGTTCATCAGTTTTTGCCTACAATTATTTAGATTTTCACAAATTATAGTATTTGAAATTTTACTGATACAGAAATAATTGTCATTAGAGACGATTTTGGCAATCATCGTTAAAAGTACTGCTGCCAAACAAGCCCTACACATTAGGCTGGCTATTCCCAAAAGTCATGAATCTAATTGAATTTTTTCGGTTGAAATGAGACGATGACAAATGAGTGGCGCTGAAGGAAAGCAGTTTCTCAAGATAATAGCTCCGTCATCGCGCCAAACATGGAAACCTGCCCCAACAAACCAGACGGCAGTGACAGACGCGGGTCTGTGTGATAAAATGTATTTGAGAGTTTGACAAGCTGCTGAAAATTAGGCGATTTTAAGATCTTTTTTTGTTGGTGCAACAATTTAAATTTTTAAATCAGAGATATTTTTAATTTGGTATGAAAAAACAGTATCAGCAAACTAACACATACATTCTCCCCTTGGTTTGACATTAAATTTTGAAATCCTTTAATAATACCCCCGCCGCAGCAAACCTGCATACTAAGCGAATTTCCATTTACCCGGCTTGATTTCTACTAAAATATTCCCTATAAATTTTCAGATTTATTTCCTATTTAAATAACATTAATTTTAGTGAGTAGTTAGGTTTGCTGCTACGGGGAAGATGTTGAGGTGTGTTTTTTCAATTGAAATATTGATAGCTTAGTATGAAATAAACCAAATTGCCAAATTTGATTAAAATATATCCATAAACAAGCAAACTAGAACAGTTTATTTATTCTCCATAAGAATAACATGGGAATTTTAAATTTACAATTTTTTAAATTTTCTCCGTAGTCAATGAACATTCAAAAACACTTCAATATACTAAATTAAAATTATTTGTTTTTTTAAGCTCTTCAAAATGGTCTAGAGAGAAATTTAGAAATTTTAAGTTTTTAGGGTCAAAAATTAGAAAAACCCATTTTTACCCCATAAAACCCCCCATAAACCCCTGATCCCATGGTCCGATTATGCTGGTTCGCGAACTCGTTCGAATTAACGTAGGTTTACACGTTTGTACCAAATTTCATCAAAATCGGATCAATTTTGCTCGAGTTATCGCGCTAACGGACACATATATAAATATATATATATATATATATATATAAATATATATATATATGAATTTGAACGGATGGTGTTTTTGCCCTCTGGGGACCTCAAAACGAAAAAGTAAATCGGTCCCGGGTCTAGGTCTTACCATGAGACCTACGGTAATAGCTTATTCCCTATATGGGAAATTCGCTAAAAACCTAAGCACTAGATTAATCTAATGTTATTTAAATTGGGAATATATGCCTTATTATGTAAATATTTTAAATATGTAATCAGACAAGTTGAAATTCGCTTAGTCTGCAGGTTTGCTGCGGCGGGGGTACTATTACTTTACACCTGCAAAACAAACATTGCATAGATGTCACACATTTTTTTTCTAGAAAAGTTGAATTGTTTGAACAATTAATAATTACAAAAAATGCTATTAATAAATAATAAAATTTTATAGTTCCTTAATTATTAAGAAACCATTCAATGCAAAAATCATCTCTCTAACCCATGAATTAGCTGAGCTGTCACAAAACAAATTGTTAGCAGTTCTTTTGGACCACCCGGTATGCACATTTGATCAAAAATAAGAGCATTAATATTTATAGTAAGTAGGCCTAAGCTATTCTTTCAGTTTTTTATGAAAAAAATTGGTGTATTAGAAGGAAAACATTTTATAATCATAAATCCTGTTTCTGGCGCTTAGTCTAGTTTTTTTTACAGAGGTTACATAGCCACTTGTGCTCATCATTCATCTAAGAGAGCAGCCATGCGTCAAGTGTTTCCAGATTCATCTTTTCTTATAAGTTTATTTTAATTTAAAAGCATTGAGTATATCGATAGGTATAAGATTTTTTTGTATGCTTATACATGAAACCTATCGTTAAAGTATAGTTTTTGGATATTGGAATGAACAATGAGTAACAACAAAAAAAGTTCTGGGTCTGTATTTTTATAAATAGGCCTATTTAAATTGTAATTGTAATTCTAATATTTGGTAATTCTAACATATTGGTAATTCTTGAAATCTTGAATCTTAAAAAAAACTTTACAAATCTTGAATTTAATTACTTGGGCCTATAAATCCAAATATACTTTGTAAAAGGTTATACTATGATATAAGAAGTGCGTGGAACACATTTGATAATAGGATTCACTATTCATAAGTAGTTGATTTTAGACCTTCCCATGTACATTTGATATCTGGATTGTAAACTGCAGAAAACAATGTTTTAATCCAGAGATAGTAGTACCGTAGCTGGCAAGGACTGGACTTTGTTGATCTGTTTCATACTGGTCAACTTAGGTAGCTGAAACTGCCTAATGAAAGTTCAAGTGGATAAGTCATATGACTATTGTGCCTTGAAGTAGAAAATGAATTGCCCTTCAGTACATTGGGATTGGCAGATCTACAACACCGATGAAGCAGCTGGCAGCGCAAACTTGGGTGTAAAAGCTAGCTTTTGGTTTATGAGGACAGAAAAAATGTGTATAATTTGTTCATCTGATTTTATTACCATACTAGTTTGTCTATACCTGTGTAGGAGGTTTAATACTGTAATTGTATACTGAAAGAGACCAGTGATATCTTAAATTACATTGTTGGTAACTGGTAGGTATACCTTATGCCTCTCTTTAATCAACTCTTTAACCAACACACATTTTGAAAGAGTGACTATACTAACAAACTTTTAATAGCTTTTCAACAATAAAGTTTAATGGAAGGTTCCATTCTATCATTTACAAGTACACTTGGTATATTGCTTGGTTGGAAGTAAAGATTTTATGTTTTTATTTCTCTACAGTACAAACAACCTTCTCACCATCCCCTATTTTTTTAAACACGTCCCAGAATCTTACAATTCTTTTGTTGAAATTTGTTACGAATTAAGTTTTGACGATTAGGTCAGCAGTGATGGTAGTGACTGTTACTTATGTCATACGATGATCAATCGACATTTAGACCATCATTCAACGTCGGTCAACTATTGAGGTCATAAGCAAACAAACCGATTGTCCCTGACAACGATTTGGCCCCACTTACACTTGCACTACATTCAGACAGCAAAGTACATCGCACACTTTGCAAATGTTTAGTGTGAGTCATAAATGCAGCTGATCATTTATCAGTGTGTGTAGTCAGTAACTTAGTTCATCAACACAAATACCCCTGCCACAGCAAACCTGAAGACTAAGCTAATTTCCATTATGATTGAATGTTAAACTAAGTATCTCCTGAAACATACTACAAACAAAAACAAACTACAACAGTTTAATTATTCTCCATAAAAATAACATTAGAATTTTAAATTGAAAATTTTTTTGAATTTTCAACAAAACCATTTAGCGTATATTTAAGTGTTCAGTGTTTGTGTTAGTGTTTAGTATACAACTTATGATTTTTAAGACATAACATTTTATTGTAGGCCTAAATGCTATGTAAATGTGTTTAGATATTGTGTTGAAATGAACTATAAAGTTTATTCTTAAAATGTTGGTTTTTATTAGCGAATTTCCCTATAGGGAAGTAGCTATTACCGTAGGTGGCACGGTAAGACCTAGACCCGGGACCGATTTACTTTTTCATTTTGATGTCCCCAGAGGCCAAAAACACTATTTGTTCAAATTTTTATATATGTATATATATAGACTTATATATATATACGTCCGTGAACGCGATAACTTGAGTAATTTTTGTCCGATTTTGATGAAATTTGGTTTAAAGGTGTAAAGCGGGATAAACTTGAATGAGTTCGCGAACCAGCACGATCGGACCATGGGAACGGGGCTTTCCGGGGCGTTTTATGGGGTAAAAATTGGTTTTTCTCACTTTTGACCCTCAAAACACAAAATTTCCCAATTTCTCTTTAGACCTTTTTAAAGAGCTTAAAAAAACAAATAATTTAGTATATAAAAGTATTTTTGTTCGATTATTAGTAACGGAGAAAATTAAAAAAATTGTAAATTTAAAATTCCCATGTTATTCTTATGGAGAATATTGTCAAATGTTGTAGTTTGCTTGTTCATGAATATATTTTGATAAAACTTGGTAAATTTATTTATTTTGTACTAAGCTATCAATATTTTACTCAAAAACACACTTTATTAGTTTCCTTGTAGCAGCAAACCTAGGTACTCGTTAAACCTAATGTTATTAAAATATATTTAACTGAAAATCAGTTCAGACAAATGGAAATTCGCTTAGTCGGCAGGTTTGCTGCGGCGGGGGTATTAATAACATTACTTTGGATCCAGTTTTAAACCATTATTTCGATTTCAGGAGAAAATTTTACCTAGATTTTATACTCCACAACCTTGTTAAAGAAATTTTTGACATTGTTACGTTACAGGCAGGAGGAGACTTGCGTTTTGTAGCATCACAAGAGGGAAGGGTTGGGTTAAAAAATTACAAAAATCCAATAAAATAATGTAACATATGAACGGCCCTACATATAACGGCCTAACATATGTTAGGCCTATTAACTTCTTGCACTGATTATGGTAACTGTTCTTTTGACACCTTGTTTTTTTTTCAGGTTACCTCCTTTTTAAAGACTTCTGTGAAAACGTGTCAGAGGAGCCTGTACCTCAGCTTAGGTTCTACGAACAAGTAAGCAACTCAAACAGTCTTTTTTGTTGTATAGTTTTATAGGCTAATCAAAACTTAGTTACGGTACTAAAATATCTATGCTGTGCCAGATCTCATACAATTCCGACATCGTTCACCAGTGTAAAAATGATAATAAACAAAACTAAAAGAATCGTCGTCATAATTCAGCAAAAACGGCTGTTCTCATTACACGTGTTGTGAAAATAAAGTAGCCCTTGAATAAAAATCAGCTGTACATTTTGATCACTTGTAAACTTAGATTGTAGCTAAGCAATCAGATGTATCGAAAGTTGGCATCGATTGTTTTTTAATTGGCTCTAGCTCATTCCTACATTCTTTTTGACTGGATTCTAATTCGTTCACTTTGAATCTTAAAAGATGGATGAGACGGGGAACAAGTTTATCTGGGTCGCCGGAAGACTGTCCCCCGGAAAACTACCCCCCCAAGCAGGTTCCTACGTCATATTGACGTCAGAGACCGGGGGGGCAGTTTTCCAGTCACGGACACTCAAATTTAGTTGTCAAACAGTTCTAATCTAACCTAACCTAACCAACCAAACTTGCTGTAACATTTCAAAAATCGAAAATGTTTTATATTCACCACATGCATTTTCTATTATCCAACGGAATTACTCGAATCAAAATTAAAATTACATAGCATGATTTGTCTAGGGGGGGTAGTATTCCAGTCGCGGACACGGCTTCCATATTGGTTAGTTAGCAGATTTTATGACGTCACGTTTCACCTGGGGGGGTAGTTTTCCGGGGGATAGTATTCCGCATCCCCGTTTATCTCACTTACAGCGCATCAAATCCTAGAAATTTTACAAGAATCTGTAACAGAATAGCTTTCAGACAAAACTCACACACAGCCATCTACTGGGACGGGTGGCGACGTCCTGTAATCCAGCTGCTAGGAGGTCACGAATTGTGGATAATTATAGGCATGCACTGTGGATGCGATACTCCCTGGTGTGGATTAACGTCCGCACGGGTGAGTACTACGACTATCCGCAGTACTATCCTGATAATTAGACCAATTCGTATATACCAAGGAAAAATGTGGTTCGGATTCCACTATAAACTGTAGGTCCCTTAGTCGCCATTAGCTGTATGGGCTAAAATTAACAGCTGTGTCTAAGGAATATGTCGGCCTTAGTCACTAACAAGACTACAAGATCGCGCCACTCATTATACACTCATCTCCATTCATACTTGGCTTAAAATACCTACTTTGTATGGTCGCCATTTCAAAGAAAAGTACAAGTATAAGTATGAATAAATGTTTTGTTAAAAAAAATAATTCCTTTTCTGTAACTAGCCTATTGGATTTTTATTAATCTATTAGCCTAACAGTGTTTGTTTTTATTATGATATTTTTAATTGTGTGTCAGCAACATTTTAAAATGTACCACTACACGCTACGTCTGAAATATTTTATTGCAGCAAATAGTATATGTAAGATAACCGGATGTTTTCAAAACAAGTGTACTTATGTCTTAATAGACATTTCTATCAAAATGAATCGCTTAGTCTTCATCATAGTTGGCGACAAACAATAAACATAAATCATTTTACAATGTAAAGTCAGAGTTACAAGCGATCACATGCAAACAAAAGTGAACATTGCGTTTAGAGATCAATATAGAATCCAGCCTCAAGAATGCTATGTGGTCTGCTATTCCCATCAGAATCAGACATTGTACAGAATAGCTTTCAGACAAAACTCCCACACTGCCATCTGGCTTTTGATTCACTTTTGTCTATTGAGTAAAAGCCATAGTGTTAACAAACAATCTAACCAAATAATTTTACAATAAAAAAATCAATACAGCATTGTAGACTTATAGATTTTAGATATAAATCATCTAGGTTGTTGATGATTTAAACTCTGTATTACAGTATTGAAATATATAGTAGTAAATCGTTAAAATTTGATTGATATTGGTTTACCTTTATGGCAACTTGCACATAAATATCTTCGCATCTTGTTGCCAGCTTAGGTGTTTACTAAGGGCCAATATAAGCAGTTTTTTTGGTTTTCTTCATAATGATGTGATGATGTCTGTATGGGTTCAATGTTAAATTTTACTTATTAAAAATCAGATAAAACATTATTTTCCTGAAGAAGAGACAGCTGCCATCAAAATCATGTAGTAATTTAATTACAACTTTTTGGGATGTTTTTGGAACAAAATTAATCTTTTAGACTTACACAAAACAAATATTTACAAGAAAAATAATTGTTTTTTTATTTGTCAGGTTTTTTGAGTTTTATGTTTAAGAAATTAACGTTTTATGTGACAAAAATCATACATCCATCAAAGTTTATTAGACTATATTTTTTAATTTTTTGAAATTTCTGTGAACTTGTTCACCTTAAGATTTTTAAGTTCTCATTTATATGAAAATTAGGTAGCTAGTTATACTGCTTGATGAGCTAGAAGGAATAAAAGAGAGACTTTAGTGTTTACTTAAAAGGTTATGAAAATTTAATAAGTTTTAAATGAGTTGGAAGAGTGAAAGCAGGGAAGTATGCACAAGTGAGTTCTTTTAACCTGTATTTCATTCATGAATATCATAAAAATACTGATTCCCTGTAACATAATTATTTAACCTCAAACTGTTAGTTTAAAATAACGCCAAGTTTTTGATTTTTATAATATTTTTTTCTGGCATGTTTTAGGAACCAACGTATAAAAATTAAGGCTTACACTAAACTACAGACCAGTTTTTTTTTTACTTTGTGTGTTTTTATTCTCTAACTTTTTCAGTTTTATACAGTTTTCATGGAATTAACTAACACTTTTTGTAAGGGAATGGACCCAACCCTAGTCTTGTTCTATATATTTTCCAATTGTTACAAAGCACGAATTATTAATAAGCCTTTGAATAATTCTACCCTTCTAAGGATCAAATCAGTAACCTTAAGATAATTACAGTATAATCCTACCTAAAAATAATTTTTTTGCTTCTCTACTTTTAAATGTTAGCCTACAAACAAACTACCGGTATAACAATTACAATTATAAAAAACTTAACAGTAATTCTGTTACTAAACATCAGCAACTTAACGATAAATCTCTTTCCTTTTGACATTTGCAGCAAATTAGCGATTGCCGTCAGAAATTGGCTAAAAGCAGAAACATTGCGAGGGTAGGCTAAGTCAATTATACAGATGTCAATAAGGCGCCGATATTGTAATTTGAATACCACTGAGCGACTGACTGCCTCCGCTCTGATCCACCAATCCTGTGATAGAGCCTACTCCGTGTTATTACATCATTCCTACCGCTTAATTCTATCTTTAAATTATCTCAGCAGATTTAAGCTCTTCTTTGATTTTATATATGGAATTATTTTCCTTCGATGTGCTTTGAGGATACACTATTCACATTTACCATAAAGAAGAAGATTAAAGTCACTCAATAAATCAATATATTGTATCTGGTTTTGTACTTACGATCTAAAATTGATTACATGATAGGATGTCTTTTACATTATTTAAATTGCAATATTGCCTTTGTAAGTAGTCTATGAAGTACCACAGGCATTGCTGTAGTAAACAGTAAATTTTTAAAAATAATTTCATCTAATGAATTGTGTTATTGCTATTATATATATCCTATACTCTTATATGAGCAATGTTTGCTTGTATGTCTGTATGCCTGCCTAAAGATCTTGAAAACGGCTTTGACGATTTCCTTCAAATTTTGTTAATAATTTATATCTGGCCTAAAAATGTGTTTACTGCAGTTGAAATTGCCAACAAAATTCTAATTACCATAGGTAAAAAATGAAATTGGAAGTCAAAATTTTGTAACATTGGCCTTATGGGTTGCTAAGTAACCATGTTGGATGAGCAAAATAACCAGGAAAAAGTAAAGAAAAGACTTGTAATATGTGTTTATAACAAGCCATCCACAATTAGCAAATTACAAAATACAGTACAAAGGAGGAAAAATATCAGTTGTTACTATTGAGCAAAGATTATTTTATTTTAAACTTTGATTGAAGTAAAAACTAAAAAAAAACACTATAATTAATTGATGTGTATACAGTTTGTAGGTCATTGAATCAAAACTACTTAAATCAACAATTTTGTCAATTAATTAAAGATTTCTTTGTCTCGAGAGACAAATCATTAAAATAGTTCCTGGTGATTTACTTTGACATTTAGTGAGGCTTAAGTCTAACATTGAGCCACATGGGTTTTCATATCCTATTTTCTTCTGTAAATATGAAGTCTTTCCCAAGCCATAAAACATGTAAGGGCTGTTGAAGTGAAAGGAGCGTTATCTTTGTAGCGCTTCAGTGACTGCAATATTAAAACTGGAGGGCCGTGAATACCTTTACCCGGCAGAAAGATGCGTTGGAAATGATGAAATGAGTTCTCGGTTTACGCCTTTGGATGTAACAGATTAAAATTTGAATGAATGTTTTGTTTTGTTAGACATGTTTTATTATGATATATTTTACAGACAAGACAGTATTTAACATAACACATAAAATCTTCTTCATAAAAATCATTGACCAAGTAATTGTTGGTAAAATTAAATGATACATAGCAAAAAAATTAAAAGTATATTTTATGACGAGTAAACAAAGCGAGCGAGATATTTTAATAGATAAGTGGTTAAAATTATAATATTTTTACCATGGACAATCAGTATTACCAAACAAATTTTTCCGCACCAGTATGTTATCGGCTATTTTTCGAACGTCATTGGATGAGCAAAAATTGTATTTCACATTCTGAAAATCAGAAAGTTTTCGTCCAGTGGATCATATATTTATTTTATAAAATCATTTTAGCTGTTTTAAAACTTAACATTATTATGTAGGTTGTGCAAAGGTCGGTGGTAACTTAATTTCTCACTCTAAATTTCTCATAATATATACAACTTTTCTAAACTTGATGTGTTTCCCTGTAAAACAAAACTAAATCAAGCTCTGTAACTTTTGGAATAATTTTATATGAATTATCGAAGTTGTAAAGT